CCACCAAAGAAATGTGTGAAATCTAGGACTGCCAATTGATTGAAATGTTTCATTAACTTAACTGTATGCTAATAAATCAAATTAATAGCATATTCAACATGCATCAATATAATCAACAAAAATAATCATTATTTGCTGATGAAATCTCCCAAGTGAGGATAATTCAAAGACATTATTCTGGGAGTGAAAGACATGATAAATTGCTTTAAAAATCAATATGTTGTTTTTTATTTTCATAACATTGATATAAGCCCTTCAATGGCCTATAGTCCATATTAATCCATTGTGAAATCAAGTTTGTCTGTCTGAGAAAGTATCATGGGCTGTTCATACAGGACGTGTCTATGTACACATGCAGACTGACGTCTTTTGCGGTTCCATTGCATCTTGCTGCTGTTTTGGCATTATTAGATGCAATGTCAAGTTAAAAACTCAATTTTCAAAATTAAAAAATGCATTAAGTTTCATGCTTTTGAATAAAAGAATGAGTACTGTGTGAATGGCTCCTATCTCATTCAGGGCTGTTCTCAGTAAAGCTGCATTCACCCTAGACTTTGAACATGCAAAATGTCTACAGACACTGACCTCACACTCTGCTGATTCTTTAAAAAAAAAAAAAAATGCAACATATAATACATCCAAAAAGCAAAAAAAAAAAATAAAATGTTTCGTGACTGCCCCTTAAAGGCCTTTTCTGTTAAATTTTGCAGGCAAAGAAAACCAATTGTCTATAGTTTGTGCACAGAAGTCACTTTCAAACCAAGCAGCTGTCTGTTGGTCAGCAATGAAAATGTGCACAACCAAATTCTTGATTGTGTGAACTCCTAATGACTGGATTTTGCATGCAAATTCACAGATCTATTCCAAATACAACCAATATCCAATAGTTGAAAACTATCAATAAAAAATGAAAATAAAATATAAAATTAAATATACAACAACAAGTGTAAACACAGAAAGCCGCCCTGGTTTTTACTAATCAAATCTACATTAACACATTAAGAGCAATGCTGGGAAATTATGCAAAGTGCATGTTATTCAGAAATAGCAGGGGGGGGCTTTAAATTTGCTATTGTGTAGCATTAACATAATTATTAGTTACAAACCATCCTCAAAAGACTCAATAACTGCGGCCTAAAAAGCTGCCTGGTAAAAAGCACCATGGTATTCATATATGACACGAATATTACCGTATTCAGGTAACACAGAATTTACACTGTACATCTCTAAAAATATTATAATGCCATGGCACTAGTTTTTTCACATACTGCTAGTGTTTTGGTATAGTTTGCTGTGAAATGTTTTTACCTGTAACAGAATCATTCACAAGCTTCACATTCAGTTGTTTATTGTAATAAAGACTTTTCCAAATGGTTAAGTCTGTAAATGAGCTGTTTAGACTCATTTGCGAAACCAATTAATTAAAAGGAACCGACTCAAACAAGTGAATCGGGCATCGCTCGTTCTGGACTGCTCTATTTAGCGCAGTAGCAGTGATTTTCTAGAAATCTGGCAGAATGCAGACATGATTTGATCACTGGAACATTGGTTAAGTTTCTCAGATCAGTAAACGGTAATCTCGGTGAAAATTTACTGGAGCTTGTAAATTGTTCAGTTCAACTCTAACCTGATTAATGAGCCTTGGTTTTTCTTGACTTAAACCGAAACTGATGCCATTCTACAACAGCGAACAAAAACAAAACAGATTCCAACTGTCTTCATCCAAATCTGCTAATAAATTTGTCTTTGGTTTGTTTGTTATTGTCTGATGAAGTGTTGCGGTTCAGTGGTGGAAGTTTTCTAGGGTGTCACAGTTGCAGGGGCATTGCATCACGTTTTGAAACTCTCCTCGCCTCAACCCAAAGCAAGAACAGATATTAATTATTCCCCCGCTAATAATGTCCATGAGGAGAGATGTGAAGAAAATACTGAACTAAAGCACTTCACAGTTTTTCAGAAATCAGCTACAGAAACAGGTTGTATATGGTCCTGCGTTCAGGTTTGGGTGCTGCAGATCAATGAGCTAAAATGTTGATTTGAAAGGTTCCCGTCTTCAGGTGGCTATAGGGTGGTACATGCCAAACCGCATTGTAAGTCCTATTCCAAAGCAAGCGGGCAGCTGTCTGTAGCCTACATAGGCAGCTGCCTTCTGAGGCAAAATCCTACCTGAAATGGAAACGCATAAGTGACTGATTCAGAACGGTCTACATCGATACAGCTCCACGCTCCACACACTCATGTGAGGCACACGAGGGACTTGACCCACTATTGATTTCACTGGAGTTTGATGGTAGCTAATGTTACTAAGCTAGCCTAATATACATAAAAATAGCATATTGTGTAAAATCTTTTCTTACTTTTTTTATAGATGTATTATTTATAAAATATTTTATTTGAATTAGATATGCAGAGAAACATTCAATGGAGAAACTAATCTTTTAACACTTCAGGAGACAAGAAATGAGAACAGACATAGAAGAACAGCTTCGGTCCTGGAGAGTGAGAATGAGAGAAAGAGAAAAGAGAAGGAGAATGTGAGGCCATTTAAACTAATGCATTTCAATAATCCATCCATTATCCATCCATCCACAATGCACTGTGGTGAAATAATGCCCACATCTTATCATGTTTGTGAATATAAGTGTAAAGTCCTTGTCTCTTAAACTGCAATGCTTCTTGTTTTTATGCTTGAAAGGGATATTTTATATATGTCTGGAGATAGTCTGAGGAGATTTCTTAGTACTTGAAAGAATCTGCTCAGGGTTTTCATAACTATGAAGAGAGTTTTTAAGTGTAATCATGTTAAGTTTTTAATTTCATTTATTCAGCTATACCCATTTTTAATGGGTAATAGTTTTAACAACCATCAGGAACCTTTATTTATTTGAAACAGCTGTTAAAATGTAATGTGACCAGGCATCTAGGGAACTATGAACGTAAAATAAATAATGAGTAAATAATCATTTTCGGGGGAGTGATGAAGGCCTTGAAGTTGGCAGAAATGCCACTGTTTTTAAATAAATAAAGTCAAATATATGTTTGTAGAGTGGGTGTTTTTTATAGCTGAATCTCCTCTATAGAAGCAATAGTCTTTTATTTTTGCCTGAAAAAATATTACAAGTAAAATGGAAAGGTAAAGAAAAATGTTATGTTTAATTTAGTGCAGAATAATGTTCTAACCGATATTTTCTAGCTTAAACTATGCTGAAAATATTCTCAAATTTTTTTTTACATCATATAAAAACATAATATAGAAATCATTTCATTATGACATCAAATTTAGACCTAAGAATTGCAAAATTAGAGTTAGATAATGTACAATTATCCCTTGTTTTAGGTTTATTTGCAATAATGACTGGCAGTTGATTGTACATTATCCTGTTTATTACCTGGCTACTGACCAAATAAACAGATTGATTAATCTTACATATTGCTTAAAGATTAAATTATTTTATTAGTTTACTTGTAGATTATTTTAAAGCTTCCGCTAAGGTTGCCTTGGACAACAAATCAATTCTACAGGTTAATGGACACAGGATCAAGTATTCCAGAGGGTGCATTAAAAATGCGACATTGGATGTGTGCGATATGACCTTATTTCAAATAAATAATTCATAAACAGGTAAATACATTAAATCAGGACATGGTGAACAAAAAGTGGATTAGATTACCTTTGATCTGATGTCTTGAAATGTAAAGCAGAGGAATGAGTTACTCAATGCAATCTGAACAGTGATTACTGTAAACATGTCATACAAAGACAAGCAAGAATAAAACAAGCATACTGATGTGAGGCTACACCGATGCAGAAAATCCCTAATGATGCTTGGTGGAGTGAGGACTGAGAAATTTATAAAGGGCCTGAGCAAATGTAGTATGCAGCGCTTGTGTTTGTGTGTGAGTGACAGTGATGGAGTGAGGGTGTATGTTTGTGGCTGAAACTAAGAGGAGTCATTTCTGAAGACTAAAGATGAGCTGTCACAAGAGACGGACTGAACTCCCTCCTCAATCGATATGGAGGATTGGTTCCCTATGGGCCTCCGGAGCCGACGCAAGCTTTGGTCTTTACACTTTTAAATGGTGTATGTGAGAATTACAAAATATTACATGCTGCAATGTAGAATTAACATTCAAAGAACAACCCTTTGAAACTTGTAATTTGCTGGCATCTGAAATAACATCTTAAATGACAAATTAAACATTTTAGTGTTTCAATTTTATGCCTTTGTTCAATTAAAACTATTCAAACTTCACCAAATGAAGAAAAATAAACTGCCATGTCTTGAAAAGAGGCTAAAGCTGAGGCTATTGTAATGCTGCCCACAGTCCAATGGCATATTCATTTTGCATAATAAAAGTATGTATTTCTGAATCTATCAGCACTACAAAGACCCCCGGAAAGGGAGGGGGCTTCAGTGAATGTTTGACTCACACGTTCTTTGCAACAGGCAGAGTGTTCTGCATGACTAACCAAAAGCAGAGAACTCAATAAGGACAGAAAACACAGCTTAAATCATCAGAGAGAAAGATAGGGAAAGTGTGCAGAAAAGAAAAAAAATGGACAGGCTTGCAGAGATATGGCAAATGCAGCCAAAACTACTGCAAACAATTACTCTCTCATGCTTTTCAAGGTGTTTAGACAAATTCTGGCAGAGCTGCAGGTAAAATAATTCACAAATATGAACCTTGCAAGTCAGTTTACCAATTACAACACTTTCTTAGTCTACTTCTCCATAGTGAGATGTAAGGCCATTAACCACAGTGTTGTTTTTATGGGACATTTAGGGAACTTATTTCCTGGAAGACCAATAAAAGTCAATAAGATCTGCTGGATTTAGTTGATTCAAAGTCCTCTACAGATTTTTATGGATCATTAACTTCTACATTTCCAGACTCCATAGACACAGTCATGTAACGTCAAGCCTGGTTTTAACTGGCACCAGTACAAGCAAATTTGCAGACAAGACGACACTGGCACAAGATAAAAGCTGAAATCTTACTGTATCTTTTTGGTCCATCCTCCAGGCAGAAGGCAACGGTCAATGTAGCGTCCTCCTCAAAGAACTCTGTAGCAAATGCATCCCACCACAGACTATCACTCTCCTGGGGAAGAAGGAGAGTCACGGTTAATTAATGGGAGTTAATTATATTGTGTGATATGCTTTGTCATTCTTACAAGTCAATTTAATAGGAGTAAAAATTATAAAAAAGGAATATTTTGTGTATAGCTCCACTCATTTTTGTGATTAATACACTTCCGTCAGTAATTTTTTTAAAGAAATTAATACTTTTATTCAGTAAGGATGCATTAAATTGATCAAAAGTGACAGTAAAGACATTCATAACGTTACAAAAGATTACCATTTCATAGAGATGTAATGATGCATCCCGAGCCGGTTGAAAATCGATATAAATAGCCTACTGTATGCGACGATTCAAGTCGGTTGAGATTGTTTGGGGTGGGATAAGAATATATCTTTGAGGGGAGCTAACCTTCTACAGAAAAGTTAAGATGGTATTTTCTTTTCATCTTTCATCTGTGTAATGCACATTAAAGAAGTGTTAATAAGCGCAGCTTCTTTGTTTACTGTGGTAAACAAGGAAAGGCTGTATTGCCGCTGTTCCATAAGTGCCACCTGCTGGCAGAGAGTGAATTTACATTCTCATTAAGCCCGTCTGCTGTTTCGGTTTCATTCAGATGTAGGGCTGTAACGATTAACTGCGAGCCGGTTGAGATGCTAAACAAATTGCGATTCAATTAGGGGTAGTTTATATGAATGTATGTCTGAGGGGAACTTACTGTCTTTAGAAAAGTTTAGATGGTATTTTTTCTTTTCATCTTGCCTCTGTATAAAGCATATTAAAGTTCATAAGTGCAGCACTGCTTTGTTTACAGCAGAAACCAAGGAAATGCTTTAAGCGCCACCTGCTGGCAGAGAGTGAATCTGCGTCTTATTCAGCTCGTCTGTTGTTTCTGTTTCATGCAGATATTTTTTATGTATAGTTTCACAAAACTGAAGTCAAACCTATTTTTGCTTCAAATGTCGAAATTATACAATCTAATTTAGATTAAAAAACTGCTCATGTTGCATGTATGCGGCATCTTTGTTTGGATCATGATTAAAATGCAGTGGTTGCCTCTAATTTTAAATGGAAAGAGCACAGACAAAGCCTTATTTTGTTTATATGAAGAGATTTATTTTATTTGTGTTACTTATTTATTTGATTTGGGGCTTGTTTTAAAATTTCAATTTAGTTTTGTTATTTACATTTACATTATATTTCAATTTTGTCATTTAGCAGACACTTTTATCCAAAGCGACATACAAATGAGGACAATAGAAGCAATCAAATCCAACAAAAGAGCAATAATATGCAAGTGCTACATTAGTATATTATTATAGTTTTATATTTATATTTCACAAAGAAATGTGCAGCATTTTGTCCAAGCAATAATAAAAGGACATATTTAATTTATAATTTGTCTTAAATCTCATTTTGTTAAAAAAAAATCGTGAATCGAACCGAGAAATCACAATCTTGAATCGAATCGTGAGTTGAGTGAATCGTTACATCCCAGATGTTATACATAATATAGTTTCAAAAAGCTGAAGTCAGACCATTCTGTTTCAAATGTGCAGAGATGTGCAGCATTTTGTCTGAGAAATAATAAAAGGACACCTTTTTATCCATAACTTGTCTTAAATCTAATTTTGTTAGAAAAAAATCACGAGAAAATCATACCGTGAAATCAGTACTGTGAATCGTATCGAATCGTGAGTTGAGTAAATCGTTACATTCCTACCATTTCAAATAAATGCTGTTCTTTTGCACATGATAAGAATCCTGAAAAAATACAGTTTCTACAAAAATATTAAGCAGCACAGCCCTTCTCAACATTGCTAAAAAAAAGAAAATTATATTATATTTTTATTGTTTATGTCATTTCTTGGGTTTGTTTTCAAAGGCTTAAGGTTAACATTAATGTAATCATCCATTGACATGTACCTCTGTGTGCTTTTTGAATTAATTCATAATTAATAAACACAAAAAAAAAACCCTAACACTTGCTTTCATGTGACCATGAGAGAATCAGTTTAGAATAGCCTAGGCCTATACCTTCCCTGATGTCTTGCTCTTTTCTCCTAAAAGCTCATTTTGAGACCATTCTGCGATCTAGCATTCAAATTACATGAGCTCAGTGCTTATAAATGCAAGTTTTCCTTAATTAAAGATTAAAGGTAATGTAGAGAGCACCGGCGCACTGTTATTAAAAGTCGACAATAACAACAAAATTCATTATAAATAATGTACGTACATTCAGGGCACCTAGATCCTCCAAATCCACTAATGGAAAGATTCACTAATTGACTTAAATTAAAGCGACTCCATCAGATGGCACGCTAGCTGCGAACATACTCAGCGTATGTAAAATTAGACTCCACGGCATCCTGTGATTGACAGAGCTCTGATTCTAACAGATGTCGTTTAGGCCAATGTTGCCATCTAGCCGATGTTGCCTGGTGACAGATCACAAGCCCTCTCAGATGTTTACAATTAGGGCTGTTGACTTCAGGCAGTGCCACATTGTATAGTGGCCAACCCTGGAGACCTCTAGTCCCGTGTCCCGTATTCGAGAAGCGCTGTTTTCCAGCGTGGAGGAAGCAGCCTCGTCTGCTCTGTGTTTTGGGAGTGAGTCAGTGCCCTATTACAACCTGCCTCTTAGTCACTGTAAGTGAGTGATCAGTTTTGACAACTGTGATCGTTTTTCCATTCAATAAGGCAGGAGGCTGATGTTGTCCAACACAGCTGGTAATTAGCACCACACTATCACTCATGACACACAGTTTCAGCTAAAACTCTTTCCCTTGCTTTCTACTTGTGTATGTGTTGTGAGTAAGTGAATGTGTGTTTGCATGTGTGATTAAACCTTGTGGTCACACTCAGCAGGATACATGACTTCATCAGATAATCCTGCTTTCTTCGTTTTTACTTTTTTTCCCATCTTGGCCTCTTGTGGGTTGGCAAAGCTTTAAGTTAAAACAACCTTAAAGTCAAGTGTGTATATATTAAGGATAACTGCTGTAGACTATTATACATTACTATGGTACATTACTATAATATCAAAGGTTAAAATTAACAAAAGAGTCCAAATTCAGTTGCTATTTATTTTAAGATATAGTAATCAACATTCAAATAAAAACTGACTTGAATACAAACATTTAAATTGCACATAAGGCACATAAATTGCACATTTCATATGAACTTTTTAATGATATGTTTCTACTCAAATTCTCGAATTTGTTTAAATAACTAAAATATGACAGACTTATTCAAATATACAATACATGAAACATCATTAACAGGTTAAGTAAGAATATAATAAATATGTTATCTACTGCATATATTAATCAAAATGCACCTATCTAGAGTTGTTGTTTTTTTAGCTATGGGCATTTTGGCTTTCTTGAGATAATTGTAATATTACATGACATTGTTTACAAGCCGTTTTATTGTTTTTATTGTTTTATTTTCACAGCTGGAACACTGATTCAGGCGATTACATGAGAGATGATACATTTCAGTAAGCTGTACTGTATCTTTCAGCATACCTTCTGATGTTCATTTATGTTTATTTTGTGCTAAAACTAGTAGAAAAGGGAAAGAGATGATTGGTTGAAATGCCTTCCATGCTGCTGATTGAACTGATTGACAAAAACTACCTACACATTGACAAAAGCTATGGCTATGTTTCATATCAAAAAACAACACACAAAGCATATTTTAATTATTGGATAAAATGCGGGCTACACATAATGTTTAGTGAAGTTTTGTTCATTCCTCTGAACTGAAAACAGCACAGACTAAAAAAATCGATCTAGGGTATTGATAATCGTTATTCAAAATGAAGACTGATTCAAATCGAGTAATCCATATTATCAACCCAGTCCTAAAACTGACTGATTTTTTTTTTCACTTTTACCTCTTTTAAGGTCTGAAAAACAGATGTTGTTTGCCTGTATCTGACTGACTTGGGTAAGTATCGTCTCCTTTTTAGCCACATCACATCACAATGTACAGCGTCAATGTAGTGGTGATTGAAATCCCACAACTCTCTGAGCTCCTTTTCAGTTCAATATCTCTTTGCAGCTCATTGATGGGCGCTCTTGAGCTGAGCTTTTCAAACAGTGTTTGTATCAGCAGGTGTTGACTTCTCTCTTTGAGTGTTCATTGATCTTCTCCACTCTAACATCTTCCTGATGATGGGTCAATGGCCCGCGGGGGGATCCATCTTACTGTACAGTCACCACCAATGACCTCCTCAGCACCAATGACCTTTGACCTCAAATTAGGCCCCGATGAATAACTGTGATGGAGATCTAATGTTTAAGAACATTCATTGTGTTTATTATAGTCCAGTCTAAAAAGACAGGTCTAATACTCTATATACTGTTCAAGGTCTAGGGTCAATAAGACTACTATAAATGCTGTTCTTTCAAGCTTACTATTTATCAAAGAACCCAGAAAAAAGGATCTCTTTGGTTTCCGCAAGAATATTAATCAGCACAACTGTTTATTTTAAATTCACAATATTTTTTTTTTACTATATTACTGTTTAACATATATATACTGTATGTATGTATATACTGTAAACTTTTAAAAACTTTAAAGTCAATGTCCAAAAATTTCAATGTCATTGATACTAATAATACCTTTTACTTGTATAATTTTAATTATTTTTATTGTAACTTTTTAAAGTTTTTAACAGATCATAATATCAGCATAACACAAACTTTATGCCAGTATATAGTTTTACAACACATAACTCATGATTATATAATCTATCATCTTTTTAGCCCTCTTTTAGCCTTGTCTTGTAAATCACAATCAACAGAGACATTCCGTGAAATCACTTCGGGACATAATGAATACAATGACCCACGTTCAAAAATAGTGAAAGGGCCCTCCATTATACTCTGAAAACAAGATATCGAGCATATAGGTTGAGATAACACAGACAAAATATTGAGTTAGCATGTAACGCAATTACTTTACACTGTCATTGTTTTAATTACTTTGATATAAGCTAATTACGGAAGAGC